CAGCAAAATATATCAATGAAGATTTGAGTTTCCAGGGGGAGAAATCATACAAACAACATTTACGAAAGCTCTTTGATAGGTAACTTATGAGTTTGGTAATATAGTAACTTATTTTTAAATGGACACACCTTATCACAATTGTTCTTACAAGAGATTAAAAGTAAAATGAATTTTGGGTTGGGCTTTCTGAAGATGTCCAAACCCACCATCTATAGCAGAGAACTGAAACAAATTGCCACATGGAAACCTATCCCCAGTGCTGGACCCAGAACAAGGCGGGGAGACCACCAAGAACTCTAGGCATCAAAGATGGGGTAGGTTGAGGAAACTTGCAGATGTTGGAGGTTCCATGGCCACAATGGAAATTTCTGAGGAAAACCTTCCAGAAATACTTTATTATGCTTATAAGCATACTAATAAAGTGTAATAGGAAACTATTACACTTCTTTAAAAACTTTAGGTAGATCTTGTTTTACCTGTATCTTGTTTTTTTCCTGTTCCAAGAGATGGTTAAAAAACTAAATTGTAGGTCTGCCAAGAGTCTTCTAGAGCAGGTCCTCGACCTGGTCCATGGCAACTGGTCACTGCTGTCCATCCTCTAGGTTTTGGAGACACCCATAGTGGTACAGGAATAATGGAGGGCTTGGGTCCCAGCCACACTGCTCTGAAGACCACATGCCACCCTCCCTCCAGAGGGTGCAGAGTCCAGGAAGGGGTAAGAAGTAAAAGGTGAGGTATGTGTAAGAGGACTGTGGATGGATATAGATGGCGCAGGTGACAGTTCCACCATCTCTATGTGCTCGGTATCTCAGACTCTGAGGCAATGGCTGATTCAGACCAGCAGTATAATTTAAGATAAACCAACTTAATAATAACCTGCCCACCATGCTGCCTACTTGCAACCAGGCCCGTCTCCCATTTTCATGTACTGAGGCCTGTTCTGCCTTATCAAAGACAGCCACACAAGGAAATGTTTCAGAAGACAAGAAACGAGTGTCATGTGTCAAGAACTCAAGTCCAGCAGAAAATTGCTGTGGTCTGAATGGGGTTTCTGAATGGCCAGCATGGCTCCTCCCATTTCCAGCTGCAGGCTAAATGACAGATATGAACGTAGGACCCTCACAATGCTAAATGCACACAGGCGAGCTGGAAGTTCCACTGCTGAGTGGGGAGCTTTTCATCCAGGGGGTGAGCACTGTCGGCTGTAGTGCTCATTCGCTCTACAAAGTAGTGTGCAAACAGGATCCACTCACGTTAGTCTCATAGGGAATCAGGTAGACTTCACCTGCTTGGCCCCTTGGCAAAAGCTTGCCCAAAACAAAACTGCTTTGCAAAAACTGGTTGAAAAGGTCAGAAAGTTCTAAATGTGCCCAGAGTCCTGACTTAACCCACAGCATTGAAAAAACCTGTTTACTTGACTGCAGCAGCAGCAGCAGCTGTGCCTGATAGAATGAAGGACAGGCCATGGAGAGGCTCTGGGAGTAACCGCCAGCAAGGCCAGAAAGGGTGAGTCCTAGAAGTAGGGGGTGGAGGTGCTATCCAGGGGGAAGCTCCTGGAATCATTTCCATAAATTCAAATACGTCTTCTCTCCAACAAAACAATACCCCCGTAGCCCAAAAGTTTTTTCATATTTCCACTGATAAACCAATATGACAGATCTAATAGAAAGGTTTTGTTTTCAGCCAGGTGCTGGTGGCTCATGCCTATAATCCTAGCTACACAGGAAGCTGAGATCTGAGGATCACAGTTCAAAGCCAGCCTGGCACGAAAGTCCATGAGACTCTTATCTCCAATAAACTACTCAGAAAATCAGAAGTAGTACTGTGGTTCAATTGGTAGAGCACTAGCCTTGAGCTGAAGAGCTGAGGGACAGCGCCCAGGCTCAGAGTTCAAGCCCCACAACTGTCCAAAAAAAAAAAGGTTTTTGTTTTTTTTCTAACCTTTTAAAAAATTAGGAAAAAAATACATGCCCTGCACATTGGCCCTGGCTGTTCCCTCCAGGATGTCTTCAGACTACTTCACCTGCCTTCTCAGTACCAGAAGAGAGAGACCAAATAACCTTTCAACAAACAACAGCAGGGCTGGAGTCGGTTTAAGAGTTGGGTGGGCCAGAGAGGGAGTTGAGGCTGTACATGTGGCATCAGCTTTGTGGCGAACCAGTTTCTACAAGTAAGCTGCGCATCCTAAAAAGAAAAGACGGTAAAGAAATGCAGTTGTGGGGGGAGATAGGGGAAGGAAGGGATCGTAGGAGAAAAAGGAGGGGGTAACAATTCGCCACAAGAAATGTACTCATTAACTTACTGATGTAACTGCAACCTCTCTGTACAGCATCCTTACAAGAAAATAAAAAAAAATTAAAAATGCAATTGGCAAAGACACTTTAGACTGTGAAAAAGAACACTATTTAAAATAAACCACTCTGGCTTCTTTTAAGAGCAGGACCACCATAACCTTGAGACCTGCTCATCCCAGCCTGCAGCATACTCTGTAATGCAACAGGAAAGGAGACCCTGGCTAAGCAAGGTCCAGCTATCTGAATGGAAACTGGCCACACATTGAACAGAAATGATTCCTAATGAGGTTCTCACTGTTGACTGGCAGTTAACTCATAGTAGTCCTTTCTACCTCAAGGTATATTATAAACAAGATTAAACCAAATATGCTATTTCTGTGGATACAATCATTTGGGGGGGTAGGGAGGGAAAAGCAAAACAGTAGAGAAATTCAGTTTTAAAACCTCTTCCTAAAGCAAGGGGAACAAATCATGCTCTACAACTCCAAATTTTTCTTACAAAGAGACATTTAATGTAAGGTGAGAAGTTGAATTAGACTTAAAGTAGACAGATACCCAGAAGTGGCACAGCCTGTAAACCCACCAGTGATTCAGGAATGACTTCAGAAAAGCTCAGTGCCTATCCCAGAACACAGTGTGGGCTGGTGGGTTTGGCCTGATGATGTTAAGCCACACAGTCCAAGGTAATGTTGATGGTGGATTAGCCCTTTAGGAGAAGCAGTGCTCTCTGCAGCTGAGTTAAGTTACCATGAAGAAGCTGGAGAACAAAAAAGCTACCTGATTACAGAGCTGCCCCAAGAACACCTGCCCCCTGGAAGCTCTCCCTGGCAAAGCCAACTCTGCGAGGAGAGCTCCTGAATACAAGGAAATTATTACACACTTTTATTCTGAAGAATGTTTTAATTTTTTTAAAAAAGGCTTTATGTCAGGAAATAGTCATTTACAAACCTTGAAGTATTTTTGCCTGGATCTGAGTAAGAATGTCTTACGAAGAGGTCTGTGAGGTCTTCATAACAAAGTATTATTTACAAAAAAAAAAAAGCTGACAGGTTGTCTATGTAGTAAAAAAAAATTTGAACCCAAGTCATTACCTGTCTTTTTTCATTGCAGGGAATCCCTGTGTGGTAACTTGATGACATCAGTACGATTCTAATAGCAGAAAAGGAAACCTTGACCATCTTAATGAGCCCCAAATGGGAAGCACACAGTTGGAGTAACTGTGCTCTTCTAAAAACTTCAGCCCTCATTCAATTGCATATAACAGCTATCATAGGGGACACATAGCACAGCAACGTTTCATAAAAGGCAACAGAATGATGTGAACAGACCCTGACATTCTAACTTTATGGGTCACCATGATGCTCCCTCCACCCCCTCCCAACATCATTTCGTTCTTAGGACAAGCAACACTGCCAGTCCCTGGGGGATGAGCACGAACATGCTTCATTTACCTACATGATTATTTTCACAACAGATGCAGAAACAGCCTGTGTGGACAACTGAGAAAACCAGACTGTGACAACTGAGAAAACCAGACCAATAAGATGCTTGGGGTAAAGAGTAGGCAGCTGGACCTACTCTGTAACTTTTAAAGTAAAAGCAAACCCAGAACAGTTGCAACCCTTAGTGAACAAGAAGGTACAATATAAAAAAATCATAGAACTTTCGTCCAATGAAAAGACTGAAAATAGTCATCTTATATATCTTATGTAAAGATAGGTTTATAGTGACTCAAAATACTTTAGAAAAATTTCTGTAGTGTGTGTTAAGTTCTGTTGAACTCAAAATTTTACCCCCTCCCCCCCTCCCGAGAATTTTCACTAAAGAAGTGAGAATTGGCTCTATTTCTTCTACTTCTGTATAGCCCAAGTAAAAATACCAATCATTTCTAGATTTGGGTGGGAAACTACAATTGTTAGGACCCAGGGATATTGCTGCAGTTCAAATACGGTACGATAATTACAAAATATAGACCATCTCTTTACAAATACAAAGTGTAGTATGTTACAAGTCATGTACAGTAAATCTATATTTTAAACAAACTAGCGTATCTTAAGTTTACCTGGTTGCGAGTGCATTATTATTCCAGTTTACAGCTGCCCTTAGCATGACAGTCAGAACTGACCATCCAAGTGATGTTCTCTTGTGTAAACTGGCATCACATAACAGAAAACCTTATCTATCAGCTCCTGCTCCCCCCCTCGAGATGACCACTGGTAGCTGGGTTCCAATACACATTGTATTTCAGAATAGCTTAACGGGAACCAGGAAGCAGTGTTTCAGGGGGAGGGATTTAAAAATAGATATGCTGGGCCTGGTGAGTGTCTGATATGCTATACTGATGGCTGAGGTAATGACACAGGTGTGGTCATCGTCATCACCTTTCACCTTCCCCACTGTGCTGACAGGTGCCCTGGGTGGAGGGAGACACGGAGGTGGACTCCTCAGAAGTCCATCTGGACCTTCAGGCAGGGCTGGGCTGCCCTTGCTCACTCATCCTCTGGAGGTGGCTGCGCCTGCTGTCTCCTGCAGCTGGGCCTGAGCACACGTGTGCTCTGCTGGGATCCTGGAAGCCTATTCCTACCAGGTTTATGGCTTCCTGGAGGCATGATCACCCTTGTACGGAAAGCTCATTGAGTATTTCCTCCCAACTAGTGCCTAAACTTTTCCTAACCGCGAGGCACTTTTCCCTAGCCCTTCCTGTGAGGCTACAAGGAGGTGATGCAGATCATTTCATCTGCCAGGTCCTCCTCTTCTTGCCTGGGCTCTGGCTCCTCATCACTGTAGCCGGGACCAAAGTCCTGGAGTTCGTAGTCCTGCCGATGTGCGCCAGGGCCCGCGTCCCCGTTGGCTCGAGGACACACATTCCCATTGAGCAACGTGCTGGCAGCACTCTCCATCTCATCGATGGTTAGGTCACAGGCATCGGCGATTTCATGTTTTGTGGCTGACACAAATTTTGGGTCCCTTGCGTAGCGTCCCAAGCCTTCTGATATCAGGACCTGCACAGGAAAAAGAATTAGTGACATTAACAATAGAAGGCTTGGGGCCTGGTGGGGTGGGGAGGGGGAGGGGGCGGGGTGGACTTAAGTACTCACAGCAATGTGACTCAGCCCCACTGTACTACTAGACCTCAGACATGACACTAACTGTAAAGGGCCTCAGCTCTGAAAAATGGCATGGACCAAAACGCTCCACACGGACCAGCAGGAGTGAAAAACACCAGCGAATTGTGGCACACATAGGTAATGCCAGCTACTGAGCACAGAATAGCAGTACAGTTCATTGATTTAGACTAAGTGTGGTGGGCAGTTTTCATTTGGACCCTAAAGACTACTTCCGCTGTGAAGAAGCACCAACCTAAGGCAGCCTGGCTCCAGGGCTCACCCACATCACTATCATGTTTCTCTGCGTGTGGTTGGCCCTCCATTGTTCCACCATGCTGCCCATGGGTCCCCCATCGTCCTCCTGTGGCCAAGAGCCATACTCACTGCCTCCACCAAGCTGTCTGCGCTCCTCTGCTTGTCACTGTTTTTGTTTCTGAAGCTGCTGGGGACAGTCAGGCTGGCTGGAGTGAAAGTCCGATAGGAGATGTCTGGCTCATCTGTGTACCAGGAGCTGCGGTGCAGGGACGGCAGGCTGCCATTGACCTGGTCCAGTGACTCTGACCGATCCACCTGAATCAAGGGTGTGTAGCACGGGGTCCAGTCCTGGTATGGCGGGGTTGCGGGAGGGGTGACCCATGACCGGGTTGAGTGGCTTGGTGAGTACTTCTGGGCTTTACTGGAATCAAGGCCTGCAACTGCCATGATCTAAGGAGAGAGGGGAGAATGGGCAGAATGTGATCCTCAGAGGTCTGGGCCTCAGGCCTCTTTAAACAGACCAATCACTGCATGTGGCTGCTGTTCAGGAGCAGCCTTCACAGTGCTGTTCAGTGAGCTGGCAGGGCAGCGCTGGTTTCCCAACAGACTAGGTTTCCTTTTCCCCTAAAGCCAAAATGCATCTCCTAGAACTGTGTGCTTGGAGTTTTCACTGGCTAAATCATGCAGCTGCTTCAGAAGGATGGACGATCAGGAAAATAAGCAAGCTAGTGTATGAACACACCACCCAGGGTATTCAATAAGAAATTTCAATAAGGAAGTATGTTCAGGGGAAACATGAGGATTCTAGCTTATGCAGGAAAACAGCTGAATCTTTTTACTTTAGTGCAGAATATCCTATATTCAAGAGGCACTGGGCATGAGCCTTACTTCCCACACTTCCACGGTGGCAGATGCACCTCAGGATGCCCACTTTGCAGAGAGGGATGCTGAGGTAAGTCTGTGCCAACAGCTCAACAACCTCTGTTAGCCTGGTCCTTCTAAAGGTTTATCTTCCTTTCATGTTGACACACAACCTAAGTACAAATCAACATTAAACTTAGAGGTAGAATTGGTGCCAATTATTCAAGCCTGTTATTCTAGCCACTCAGGAGGCTGAGATCTGAAAACTGAGGTTCAAAGTCATCCCTGGCAGACAAATCTGTGAGACTTTTCTGTCCAATTACCAGAAAAGGTCAGGACTGGAAGTGTGGTTCAAGTGATAGAATGCCAGCCATGTGTACAAAAGCTGAGTGAAGAGCTTGAGGACATAAGTTTAAACCCTGTACACACACTTTCTCTCTCCCCTCTCTCCCTTCTCTCCCCTCTCTCTCTCCCCGCCCTCTCTCTCTCCAGAAAAGTAAAAACTGGCAGGGAGATCTGACATGGTCATTTATGTTTCTAAGATGACAGGGTTAGAACCTTGCAGGCTCTTGGCTCTGCCAGTTGACTGGATGTGTGCTGATACATGGCATTCTCCTTGACCATGCACCCCAACCCAGCATACACAGACAGACAACATTTCTGAATCAGTTAATATATCTGTATACACTTGCATACCACCTAATATATCAACTGAAATATGGTAGATTCAAGAGAGAACACAAATAGTACAATTCCTTAGAAAGGCAAAGGCAGAGTTCAACAAAATGAACATCAGGAAATGGGCACTTGAAAGGGGTGGGGTAGGGGCACTAGGAGAGGGGCAGACAAATGAAGCGGGGTGGGGAGAATGCAGTAAGAATTTAACGTTTTGCAATCTAAGCAGTCACACAGTGAGACCAAAGGAGGACTTCCTTAGGAGAGGATTGGAGGGCTCAATAGCGATGTGCATCTATAATCATATAAAATAATAATCATATAAATGATGATTATTGAGACAAACTCTAAGAAATGGAAGGGGTTTTGAATTATACTGTTTGCAGTTCTTTTTTCTTTTCTTCTTTCCTTTTTTGTTTTCCTTTTCCCTCTGACGCTTTTATTTTAAATTGCTGTACCCCTTGTCTTGTATATAAGTTTGTCTGAGTTGGGGAGTAGAAGGGGAAGCACAGGTACAATATGACAAAGGGTGAAGCAATTCATCAATGAAACACTAGACACTATGTTGGAAATGAACTGTATAATTTTGGGGGATGGGAAATTGGGAGGAGAAACACTGGAAGAGAATGAGGGAAAGGGTGACACTGTACAAAAGGAAATCTACTCACTACCTGAGTCATGAATGGTAACCCCTCTGCACATCATCTGCACAATGAAATTTAAAAAATAAAAAATTTAATGTTTATCCTACAAAATTAAAAACAAGGGGCAGGTTGGGAGGGATGGGTGAGAATATTGAAAAGGGACACTGATCAAGATGCACTGTACTCATAAACTGTTTTAAATGGCATCTCCTTTGTACAAGTACTTAAAGATAATAAATTTTTTAAAGATTTTTTATTAATAAGTTTTTTATTGTGAAAAACCCTACACAGGGGTTACAATTACATGGGCAAGGTAATGAGTACATTTTATCAAGCATTGTTGCCTCCTCCTTTGTTTCGCCTTACCATCTCTGCCCTCCCATCCCCCTCCCCTGCCAGAAAAGAACCATATTCTTTTTGTTTGGTTGGTGGGTTGTGGGGATTGGACTCTGTGCATGGGCAGTGTCCCTGAGCTCTTCAGCTCAAGGCAACTGCTCTACAACTTGAGCTACAGCGCCACTTCTGGTTTTCTGGTGGATAAGTGGAAATAAGAGTCTCATCGACCTTCCTGCTTGGGCTGGCTTTGAACCTCGATCCTCAGATCTAATCCTCCTGAGTAGCTAGGATTACAGGCATGAGCCACTAGTGCCTGGCTAAAAGAACCATATTCTTATTGTTGAGACAGAGCCCTTGGTAAGTGCACTCTGGGTCACAGGCTGCCTCCCACCCAGCTGCCCTCCTTGTGGGCAGATGGCTCCTCTGACTCATTCCAATCACCACAAGGTCCATCCACAGAGCCTGTAAGCAGTTGACAGAGGAACTTCTTCTCATTCCCAGAACAAAAAAAGCAGCAATTATTAGGAATCTGGCAAATGGTTCTATTTCCCTGGGGCTTGCAAAGTATCAAGACCTGTCTTCCACTCTAGAAAAGTTATGGGGAATAAGAGGTTTAGGAGCTGGCCTTGCTCTCCTCCTGTGGAGCTCTTGAGAAATGAGGGCCAGAAGATATACTTCTGGGGCTGATCCAAGGCCTGAACCAAACTGGAGGTGAAAGTTCTCTCCTTCCCTCTAGGCGTCAGCAGCCAAGGGGTAGGACACATGCCTGGCAGGGTCCAGTCAGAGCCAGGGCAGCTTACCTGCTGCTGCATCAGGTGCAGAGGCAGAGCGGCACGGTGGGGGAGCGCAGGTGACAGCGGAACATCCTCCTGGCTGCTCTGTCTGCGCAGGCACTCGAAGTTGAAGGAGGATCTCCGATGGGCTGAGAAGCGAAAGCACATTGTGCATTGTGAGGAAGCCCTTGGGCACCATCTTAGGAGTCAGTATGTTCAAAAGATGGAATTTCATGGGCTGGGAAGGTGGCTTAGTGGTAGAGTGCTTGCCTTGCATGCATGAGGCTCTGGGTTCGATTCCTGAGCACCACATAAGCAAAAAGAAAAAAGCCAGAAGTGGTGCTGTGGCTCAAGTGGTAGAGCGCTAGCCTTGAGCTGAAGAGCTGAGGGACAGCGCCCAGGCCCAGAGTTCAGGCCCCAAGACTGGACCCCCCCCCCAAAATGATGGAATTTCAGAAGGAAGTACATAGTGAGGACCCTCAACTCTGGGAAAGTGTGGGGTGGGGAAAGGACAAAGGAAGCATCTCACCTGAAGGATTTCTGTTTTGACACTACTATCTGTACTCCAGGCCTTGTGCGTGCTTAGCCAGGCGCTATACCATTAAGCCATGCCTCCAGGCCCTGTTTTGAATTGATTATTATTTTTTTAATTTTTTTTTGGGTCCGGTCATGGGGCCTGAACTCTGGGCCTGGGCGCTGTCCCTCAGCTCTTCAGCTCAAGGCTAGCGCTCTACCGTTTGAGCCACAGCGCCACTTCCGGCTTTTTTCTTTTTGCTTATGTGGTGCTGAGGAATCGAACCCAGGGCCTCAGGCATGCAAGGTAAGTGCTCTACCACTGAGCCACCTTCCCAGCTCCTGAATTGATTATTTTCAAGATAGGGTCTTGATTTCTGCCTAGGCATATACCTGGACTTCGATTTCACTTCCTATTATAACTAGGATGACAGGCATGTGTCACCATTCCCAGTTTCTTCCACTGAGCTAGAATATTGTGGATTTCTGTTTAGTCTGGTGTGGAACTGATCTCAGCCTTGCACATAGCTGGGATGACAGGGGTGTGCCACTGTACCCAGCTATTGGTTGAAAAGGCCAGACTGGCCTTGAACCACTATTCTCCCAATCGCAGCCTCCTAAGTAGCTGGTGAGTCACTGGTACCCCACTGAGAGATTTTTTTTAAGTGAAAATTAATTAATTACTTTTAAATGTTTGCCTGTTTTCAGATAGCCTATAGGACACTTGATGCTGAGTGTGAATCTGCATTTAGACACATGACAGGGAACAAGGACAAGAGTCACTCTACAATCTGACATTTCCTGACTATATCGTTTTTGCTTTACCCAATCAAGTGTTTCTGGCATTCTGTGCCTATGTTTTTATTTATTTATTTGTTTATTTATTTATTGTTGGTCATGGAGCTGAACTCTGGCCCTGGGTGCTGTCCCTTAGTTCTTCAGCTCAAGGCTAGCCCTCTATCACTTGAGCCACAGTGCCACTTCCAGCTTTTTCTGCTTGTGTGGTGCTGAGGAATTGAACGAGGGCCTCATACATACAAGGCAAGCACTCTACCACTGAGCCACCTTCCCAGCCCTATGTGCTTATATTTTAAAAGGAGGGATTCTTCTTGTCCTCATCAGCTCATCCCGACAATAAGTAAATTCTTCTGCTGGGAAAGACCAAGTGATAGAGAATAACTTAAACTGAGAGCACGCACCTTTCCCCCTGACAGCCATATCTTAGAATTCACTTGCTGCCCATCCCACTGGATCATCTCCCCTCCCCTTCCCCCTAAACAAATGCACCTGCTGGTCCTAGAAGAGAGCCTGAGACTAAGTCCATGTCTGGTGCTGATGCCCCTGGCAGACACAGATGCCGTTGAAACCCTGAAACCCTCTATTCAAGGTAAGACTGCTCTCCCATCCTGCCTCTATCTCATACTACTTCTATCTGCTCTGCCTGACTTCACTTTTTCTGCCTAATCAAGAGACCCTAGTTATATGGGAGGTACACCATTTCCTCTTCAGCTGGGCTGCAGGAGATTTGGTTGCCCTTCCCATGTTTTCTTCCCAAATAAAATCTGCTGGATTGTTGAGTTCACCTTTCTGCGCTTTTCCTTTTTTGTTGGTTGTGGGCCTGGGCGTTGTCTCTGAGCTCTTCAGCTCAAGACAAGCACTCTTATCACTTGAGCCACAGCACCACTTCCAGTTTTCTGGTGGTTTATTTAAAAGTCTCACAGACTTTTCTGACTGGGCTGGCTTTGAGCCGTGATCCTCAGATCTCAGCCTCCTGAGTAGCTATGATTACAGGCATGAGACACTGGTACTTGGCTTCTTTTTCTTTTCTTATACGAAGCCTCCTAGCAGTGAAGAAGCAAAGAGCAGCTCTATGTACATACCATCTGCTGACAGCCATCCTCACAGAATAAGGATGACAAGGGAACCCACAACTAGCAGCTTCATTGGACACCAGGCCCAGGACATCAGTCTGAATTCTGGGGCCCTTTGTTAGAGCCAGAGGCTTTTCCTCCTGGAAACTTCCCTTTACCCTTACCAGGGTTGGCTTCAGTGCATCTTACTTGTATTTTACAAGGTGGCAGCTACTTTAACTTTTCCTTCCTTGTTCTCTGTTTTCTAAGCTTAGTACATTTCCTAGCCCCAGAAAAACCCCATAAGCCTATAATTCCTGCCTTGGGGAGTATCAGTATTCAATGAGGGGCATTTTAGGACCTCCCACCTGAGGTGCCCATGTGAAACAGACAGCTGACTTTCTTAGAACATCTCCTCTTGTGTGCCACCCAGTTTTCCTTGCCAGTGCCATGTTTAGGAACTAAGATCTGGGGCCAGCCAGGGGTTCAGAGCCAGGAAAAAACACTGCCTCCCATAAGCACAGTGTTCTTCTGTGTCTTAACCAGCCTCCAGCCTCCCTCATCTGGTGATCTCTTCACAATGGTCTCTGGAAGAGGCAGTTGTCCCACTGTGGCTAAGGATACTGAGACCACAGTTAAACATTCTCCCTGCACATGCTCTGAGCTGCCCCCATAGAAAAGCTAACCCCCTTCCGGATGAAGCAGGTGACTGGTTCTACCCAGCCAGGATTGAGTACTGGCTGGGTTGGGGATGGTGGCAGAGGAATATGGGGGTTTGGGGGTAGGGGGATCACAAAGGCAGGGGGCCTTTCTGTTCTTAATCTGTACATCCTTCATCTAATATTTATGGGGAATGGAATAGCTCCATTCAGCAGTAAGTGTTTGAGGCTGTCCAATTAAATATTAACTATGGAAATGGGTCTGATTCCACAACCCCGCAGGCCAGGACAGCTGGAGTAAGGCATGGGGCTCCAAGCACCATACTTCTTACTGTGTGGGTGGTAGGCAGAGTCAGGAGCCACTGTATCTTGGCTGTTTTTGGTTGCAAATTAAGAGTCCTGCTCAAAATTAAACTTCATTCTCCAGAGACATCAGAAATGGATGCTCTTTAATCATCACCAAAATGACCACACTTCTGCAGAATTAAACTGCCCAGCCAGAAGGAACTGGCAGGAACCACAGCTACACTTCTTTCCCTGCCCTGAGTTCTTTGCTTAGGATGATCAGAATCTGCCAGTGCAAGTCGTAACACTGATGAAGGAGGAAGGCAGGGGAGCCCCCACCCCCCTACCCTCAGCAGGAAAGAGTCTCTGGTCCCACTATCCTAGAAGGGCCAAAACCTGTCCTGTCAGTTCAGAGTTTTGAAAGACCTGAGGCAAAGATGAGGGAGAGGGAGGAAAGCAGAATGGAAGGATAAGCCCTTTGGGGACAAAAGAGAGATGGACACTAAGATCTCCCAAGGGCTCCAGAGAGGCAGGGGTTTACATGTAAGACAGGCCTGGGGGCAAGTCTGGCTTGGGCTTGAGCTCATTTTATTTCTTCATCATGGAATGGGGCACAGCTATGCACATCAAAAGTATACTATGTCTCTCCTATCTTTCAGGACACACCCAGGTTCAAAGGTAAGTATCATACACACAAAAAGCCGCTTCTCAGTTGTGTGCATGGGGCAATTTTAGGGTCACAAACTGACTCTACTTGAGCTCCAAAAGAGCCAAAAACAGTGCTAATATGGTTTTTACTCCATGGCAGGGCATATGGATGTCAGGGAAAGGAAAGTCCATGTACTGCCCACCTAGGGAATGGTCTTGAAGATGTAACATGGCATGGCAAATCTCTCTATCATATACCTCTGTGGGATGGGGAGACAGGCACAGTGTTATCTGGAAGAATCTACCCCCCAATAAGAAATCTAGCCTCACATGTCGGGGTGGGAGGTAGTAGGCGTCGCCTTGGAGATCTCCGTGAGTCATAGCCAATGGGAAAGTCATCATCATCCAAGAAGCCTTGGGGGTGATGGTAGCCTCGGGGCCTCTCAAAGTCCATGGTGCTGCCTTGGTACCTGTTGTAGTAGCTGTAGTTTTGCCTGGTGGTCAGAAAGGGCCAAAGAGAAGGTGCATGTGAGATTATGGGCAACACGTCTGTAGACTCCCAGGAAGACCCCCACCCCAACCCCTCCCACCCTCAGCCCCCCTTCCCCATCCCCACCCCCACCCCAATGCATTCAGTAGGATTAGTGGAGAACAAGACAGTTGTATTTCATGGAAGATTCCAGATGTAGAGCACAAGAAAGCTCAGGGATGGAGGCCTATGGTGAGTGATGTGCTGGTCTTTTCCCTTCCTGGGCCAGCTGCAGGCCCAGGGCAGATGTGATCACAGGGACATGAAGCTTGTCATCTTGAATGTCATCTCCTAGTGACTTGCCTGGCAGTCTGCCCTCTGCCAGGTGCCAGGCTGCTCACAGGGATACAGTTTCCACTCCCAAAGAGCGCAGGGAATACCATAATTATACATACAAAATGCAGTCTGGAGAGCAGATAGGAACTAGGCTAGTGAGGAATAGGCAGTGGTTCCCCTGGGTGGGTTTTTGCTTTTCTTTTTGGTGGCAGGGGCACATTTTTCAATTCTAGGAAGGACATACAAAGCAAAGTCCTTGAAGAGAGTGCAATGAGGCCCACAGGGATAGCTGAAGGCTTCTAAGCAGTGGACACTGAGTAGCAAACTCCTGTAGAACACAGGGTCCATTTGGCTAAGAATCAGTAGTTGTGAAATTCAGATGTCCAAGGGAGGTAGAGGGAAGGACCAACTAAGTGGGAACGAGTTTAGTTCACTCCTGGGGGCAAAGGGGGCCACTTAAGATTCAGGAGCCTCAGGTCTTGGTGAGGTGGTGAGACAATAGTTTAGTTGGCTTCTTGATCTCTCATTCTCCACAGAAGTACCTTGATGGGAGATGGGAGCGGGGCCTGCGCATGGAGACTCCAGCTGAACTACAGGCTGACTGAGCCTTTACGCAAATACAGCCTCAGGTAATTATCTCCCTAGTTTAAACAACAACAACAACAAAAACCCTCTCATGTCTCAGAAGATGGGGATCTGATTTTTTATTTTAAAGGCCCGGTTGGCAGTGGTCCTGTGTCTCAAGTGGTAGAGCGCTCACTTTAAGCTGAAGAGCTGAGGGATGGCACCCAGGCCCGGAGTTCAAGCCCCATGACCTACCCCAAGATAAGTATTCAAATGTTTTGTCTTTCATGCGATTGTTTCTAACATATTTATAAGATGATTTCTTTGTTGCTTTGTATGTCCCTCCCCCACGGTTTAACCCCTGCTTTCACTATATTTGATGTTGGTATAATTTGTGGAGGGGAAGGGAA